AATTTCTTCTTACTGAGGTTTACATTTCTAAGTTACCATGACTCTAATAGTTTTTGTATCACTATTCACATTTTCCCACGAATTAGTAGCACGAAGAAAACGAAATTAATCTGAAACATGTGAGGAAACCTAAGAAATGTTGTGCGTACAAGGTGTTTTTTCACATTCACCCTTTCCATATGAAATATCCTTCAGCTTTTGTTTTTCATTACGCAAACTCGGTCTCTCACACACACACACAAACCTATCACTAAGTGACACTTTTTTTCAATTTCTTCGTACTGAGGTTTACATTTCTAAGTTACGATGACGCCAATAGTTTTTGTTTTAAGAAACCCATACGCCTTACCCTTAACTTCTTTTTTTACAATGAAATTAGAAGAAAGAAAAAAAAGTAGGAGGGAACGAGACTAGAGTTTCTTAGTCAAAGTTTTAAAAGTTTGTATAGTCTTTGCATTCTTGGATGAACTGCAATTTGCAAGACGGTGATGTTTTTTTCGGTACACTTCTTGTGGAGCAAGAGCATCTAGCTTTTGAAATTTGATGTGGATCTTGTTTTCACTGAAACGCAAGTTGACAAGAAGAGTGATTAGATCAATTGTTAAGATCCATGATGGAAAATTAGATATGCTTACCTTTTTTTTTGTTGTTGTTGAAGACGATTTCGGACGCCATATGAATGGCGTCGAGAAGCTTTGGGTCCATCATAGACCCCATAACGAGACTTACCACGGCTATTTCACTACTACAAAAGAAAAAGAAAAAGAAAAAAAGATTATGTTACTTTTGAGTTTTTCTATCTACTGGTAAGCAAAAGAAAAAAAGTGACAATAACTTACAGACATATTGGACATTTGTCCATGTCGAATGCTCTGTGAGCACATGCATGGCAAAGCATGTGCCCACAGGGCCCTAAGGATATTTTTATATCCTTGCCACAAAGTGGTGTAGCACACGCTGTGGAAAACAATAAGGGAATACATGTGAGTTGAAGTAGGTGACAAGTGAGGGAAAAAAAAAAGAGTTTTGACGATAAGAGAGATGATACTTTGAGATCACTTACTCGATGGACGTGTGTTTGAAGACATCTTTTTGCAACTGTCCGAGAGGGTACACTTAACGTGGTATCTTATAATGGGATTCTTTTAACCAAATATCCCTCCCACCCACCACAA